TGGCCATGAGAAGGGCCAGAGGCAATGTTATAACAGCTCTGGATAACTTCCCAGGGTGTAAAGATCATGGGATCAGAGCCTTGGTGTTCCTAGAGAGCATCTCTGATTTCAGAGACTCTGGTTCCCAACCTCTTCCTCCAACAGCTCTTAGTATTTTGGGGGGAAAAAAAGCAAGGGGAGGCTGGAGATGTAGCTCAGTGGAAGAACTCCGTCCTAGCATGCACAAGGCCCTGGGTTCCATCCCCAGCCCAGGAAGATAGAGAGATGATAGATAGATAGCTGAACCTTCTCAATTGGATTTAGGAGAACCCCAAAATGTTAGGGTGTTTCATTCGTTGAGTTTCAGAGCAAAGGAAATGGGATGGATGTCTTTGTGGCCAGACTTCGTGGTGACTAAAGCCATACAACTGAGGCGCAAGGAGCAAGGCTTGCTTAAACAGACAAACCCACACACTGCTGCTTCTTCCAGGATCTTCTGTGAAAACCTTGTGGGGTAGGTGGGGAGAGGGGCACTTGCTTACAATTACATAGACCCAACAGAGAACCATGATTATAAGATTAGCTTATCTTACCATTTGCCTTTCTACATGGCAAGAAGCATTGGGCGGGCCTCTGTTTGTCAGGCTGAGGCTTGTGGCCAGGCAAGGGCCTGTGACTGACCTGTCTGTACGGTCTACTTCGGAAACAGAAACTTCCCCGGTGGCAAGGGAAAGAAAACACCAAGCTAATCCTGAAAGGGTAACTTTAAACCAAAGCCCAACCGAGAAAGGGAGCAGGAGAGAGACTGCCAGCTGAGGCAGACCAGAAATAAAAGTCCCATTGTCCTTGTGGAGGACGCCTCTAGCCGCACACTCTGACTGCCCTGTGGCTTGTGCTACATGCTGACACTTCTCCTGCCCTAGAGAGTGCGCTCTGGTAGTGGGCAGCCTGCACCCCAGACTCGGTGGCTGGAGAACTCACACTGGAGGAACGGGGATGGTAGATGCGGGCAGGGCAGGTTGTGGCATGGAAAATCATCCACACTAATGGGGCTGACATCCAATTTTCCAGAAAAAAAAAAAAAAGAGTATGATGCATCTGGGACAGCTGGTTCCATGGGAGGAGTCAGGGGTGAGTTAGGGACAGGGGAGATAAGGAAGGGAAGGCTCTCGGCTCAGCTTAGAGCCAGGACAGAGAACTCCCTCCAGGACTGAGCCCAGTTCTGATACCTGGAGCACTTGTTTGCTTTCTAAAGTTCCCCTGGGAAGAAAAGCCCCAAGATAAAGGTTTTAAAGTATAGACCACTGACAGAGTGGCAAAGCAGAAAGAGGCTAGAAATCAGGAGTCACAGGGTTTAGTTAGTAATTCTGAGTGTCACCTGTCTGCTTTGGTTCTGACACCAGTTAGAGTGAAGAGCTTGGGTCCTGCATTGCCATCCCTTCTAGATTTGGTGTTCTCAGATTCTCTAAGTACGGGCTTTCTGGGTCCAAAGAAGGGGTTTTTATTATGTGCCCCCAATATCTCACAAATGCTTTCTAGAGATCTCTAAAGTTCCTGCCAGCTGAGACTGAAACCCATTCACACCCACAGTCTCAACCTTTCAAACTAGAGGAAGATAGAGGGCGGGGTGTTTGGAGAGCTTGAGGGTTTTGAATGCTGGGGAGGGAGGATGCTGCCGCCATGGTGACAAGGGACCAGGGGGAGGGGTTCTGGCAGTTTCACTCCAGGTCCTCCTTTGTTCTAGTTAGCTTTTGCATTGCTATGACCAAAAGACTTGACAAGAACAACATTTCGGGGACTCACAGATTCAGAGTTCTCAGTCCATAGATGGCTGACTTCATCATTCTGGGCTCAAGGTGAGGCAGAACATCATGGTACAAAGGTGTGGTGGAGGAAAGCAACTCCAAACATGGCAACAGGCAGCAGAGGGCGGAGAGTTCCAATCACTACAGACAAAAAATATATACTCCGGGGCTGGGGATGTGGTTCAAGCGGTAGCGTGCCCGTCTGGCATGCGTGGGGTCCCGGTTCGATTCCTAGCACCACATACAAACAAAGATGTGTGTCCGCCAAAAACTGAAAAATAAATATTAAAAAAAATTTTTAAATAAAGTTTAAAAAAAAATATATATATATATATACACACACACATTCCAAAGGCACATCCCTAGTGACCTATTTCTCCCAGCCACACCCTACCTGCCTACAATGACTGCCCAGTTATCAGTGGATTAACACACTGATTAGGTTAAGTCAATAATCTAAACATTTTATTTCTAAAAATTCTTGCATTGTCTCACGTGTGAGCTTTGGGGCACACTTCGTATCCAAACCATAACATCCTTCCTAACCTTCAACCAGAGAGAAGTATAAGCTGTTTCCAGAACTTTAGAACATTTTGTGGGGACAGATCTGGCAAGACTAAGATTGCCACAGATAACCAGCTCCACAGATGTCAGGGCAGGATGTCCATGGGACATGGGACATACAAGTACCTGACAGTGGAAATATACTGGTAACTATTAAATTTTAAAATGAAAAGCACAAACAAATGCGTATGTCTAATGTGAGTAGATACACAAGTATGTGTGCATGCACACACAGAGAGAAAAGCTTAAAATGGCCAGAGAGACCTTGAGCAATTTAAGATCAATAGTAAATCAAATGTTAACTTGCATGCGCTTTAAACTGAGCAAATTTTCTAAATGAATTCATTTGAAGAATCTGGCAAGATATTTGGACTTTGAGAACTTTTCAGAGACATTTTTCAGCAATCTGTAGCAGTTAGGGCATAAACAGGACCATCACTTGGACAAGAGTTTATGTCTTGTCCGTGCCCACTTAGAGTGAGTTGACATGCTCATTACTATTATTGTGTTTCAAAGGGGATAACGCCACATCCAATATGTATTTGAGTATTCACAGATACTTGAGAATAAGGTCTTGGTTGTATTCATTTTTGTGTCTTTCACAGAACTGCCAGTGTGCCTGCCACAGAATTTGTTAAATCAATATTTGCTTATGAATGAACGAACACCCACCTCCAAGTAGACAGGATTGTTTCTTACAAACCATAACACATTCAAGTAAGATGGATGAACATATGTTTAGCTATGCAACAATATCATGAATTCCTAGAACTTAAGACAACAGAGACCCTTGACATCATCTAGTGCGATCTTCTCGCTATAAAGATGAGAACACCAAGGCTTGAAGCATATAAATAAGTTATCTGAGGTCGAATAGCTAATCTGTACCAGAGCCTAGCTCTCCTGACATCTAACCCAAGTGAATTTTTCCACTAAACCACCCTGCCTGAAGAATGAGGAAGCATAAATAAAGAATCTGAGGTGTTTACTCAGCACTTATATATAGTCTTCCTAACCCTTCATTATGGAGGGAGAAGAACTCAGCTGTTTTAATTGCCACCTGCGAAAGTACTCCACAGTTACATTTTTGGCAAACCCCTGTGAAAGACAATTTGGGGTCTAAGGCAAAACAAGAAGGAAAGAAAGTAATAAAAGCTTTTTATTTGTAGATTGGAATTAAGTGCTCTGTGCCCAGGCTGTTGGCTTTATAGTGACTTCAGGATTGCCGCTTTAACGCTCCAGTGAGCAGAAAATTGGAGAGCAAGAGCATCAATCACGCAATCCTGCCAAGAAACACCCCCTCCAACCTAAGTGAAATGTAATATAAGGCATGCTCAGAACAGCTCCCAAACCACCTCAGTTCCATTCATAACACAGGCTTTCAGAAGCTGCAATATCGTGATTCTGTGTCATCAGAGTATCTGCCCCTGTCTGTGATTCTTTAAAGCTGAATTTCTGAGAAGGATCCTTCCAGGTCACAGATAGCCAATCAGATGTACCTCCTAAACCCTACACGGCAAACTGGTGGGCAGGACCAGCAACAGGTCACTGCTTTCAGGGAGGGTGGAGCAATGACCAGACAACATTAAGATCCAGCCAGGAAATTAGTGAGGTGCAAATTGCATGGTGGTGGCTACAGGGCAAAGGGAAAATTGTAGACCATTGCCTGAAGAGAGAGAAATAGCAATGTGGTATTTTGGGGCCTGGCAACAGGGAGCAACTGGGCATAATCGTCATTGCCTTAAAAAAAAAAAGCAACATCTTTTTTATTGCAGTAAAATATGCAAACAAAAAAAGCCCACCAATCCTAAAGGCTCAAGGAACTTTTCTAACCTTAACATGCCCCAAGCCAAGGTTAAGACAGAGAGCGCCCCCTTGTGTACAATTCCAGTTACCTCCACTCAGGGGTAATTGCTATTGTGCTACTCAGGCAGTGTATTGGAGTTCCACCAGAGTCTTTTCACAGCTCTGTGGCTGAAGGCTGACAGTCTGCGTTGTCCTCCCCAGCAGCCCCTCTGGTGAAAGTGGCTACTGATAGGATCAGGTTGAGATTAGAATGGGCAACCTCTAGAGGAGAAAGAGTAGGAGGAGGGGGAGACAGCATTGGGACAGACCGGCCCTTGCCCCCTCCTGTCTCCTTACAGAGCTGATCTCTGCAACTGAAGAAGCTGGAGAAAGGAAGAGGGCAAATTCTCTTCTGAGCATCGAGGTGTCTGGTTGCATTAGGCTTCACAGAGGGCTGCTTCTGCTTCTTTTTTGGTGTTTTTGTGGGTTTTCTCTCATTGTAGCCTCCCTGAGTTCCCTTATAGTGGTCAACCATCCTGGAGGAGGAGTATAGGTTGTTTTGCTCCAGGGGTTTCTTGTTAGGCAACAAAGTCAGGCCTTGAAGGCTTGGCAGCCTTAGCACTGATCTTTGTGGCCTGGAGTCATGGCTGGTTTTGCTTGGTTTGCCACCTGGTTGCAGTGGGCTATTTTACCCCGAGTTTAACACTGCTTCGGAGAAGTATCAAGCATGTTTTAAATAGGTTTCATATTCTGGCTCTGAGTTTGGCTTGACTTCCCTCTGGTGTAAAGCACTCCTGAGAGTTGGAGTATGTGTCTGTGCCTGTGGGGAGAACCCCATTTCAGCTTGGGCATCAAAAATAACAGCCAGTGCTCTCTTTGGCAGCACACATAGTAAAATTAGAACAATGCAGAGAAGATTAGTATGGCCCCTGTACAAGGATGAGACATAAATTCGTGAGGCATTCCATAGTTTAAAAATAAAACAAAATAACAGCCAGATTCCTTTTATGTCTCCTGTGGGATGGTAAGGGGATGCTCACAGTCCCAGGGGAGGAGATGTGTCCCAATCATAGCTGTGTCCTTTGCTTGCTGAAAGAATTTTCAGTGTCTCTCTTGGCTCACCTCCATTTCCTTCTCAACCCACTGCGGTTCGGCTTCACTGGCTCCACCATATTCTTCTGGCTAGGGCCACCCAAGACTGCTTAGATGTCAAGACCAAGGAAGACTTTTTTTTCAGTCCTAATCTTAAATCTGCTGTTTGGAGGTGGTGCCACTGTTGACCTCTATGACCATGGGACGTTCATTTGAGAACCATCCCACCAGTTTTTCCCCCTGTGTCTCAAGTTCCTCCAATTCAGCCTCTTTTGTCATCACTCGTCCTTCTCTTGCTGGCATTGGGCTTCCGTAAGATTCTGTCCTCAGTCCTCTCTGGCTTTCCACAGCCCTCTTCAGGACTGGATCTGCAGTCTGACTTGCCTTCTCAAAGCTCCAGACTGACCATTGGTCTCTCCATGGCCTCTCTATAAACATCTATAGGTATTGCTATCAACTCCAGCTGCACATTAAAATCAAAGCAGCTTTTAAAAACATATCCATATATTTGAGTCCCCTGAGCCATTGATTTCATCCATCCAGATAGGCCCCAGACATGCTGACAGTCTCCAACCTTACCATGGTTCAACTTAGGCACTTTCAATGGTTTGAAGGTGATACACATTCAATAGAAACCCCAGTTTAAAATCTGAGTTTTGATCTCTTCTTCTTCATCTTCTCCAGGCTGGCAATATACAGTACAATACTCTCTTTTGAGATGCTGGGCCATGGCAGCCAGCCACAGCTTCCAGCCACTCACACAATCAAAAGGAGAAATAATCAACACTGCAGTGTACAGTGCTGCCAAGTAGGATGTTCCATAGGTTAAGTGTGTTAAAATCATTTAAAAAAATTTTTTTAATTATAGATGGACACCGTACCTTTATTTACTTTTATATGGTGCTAAGGATTGAACCCAGTGCTTCACATGTGTGAGGCAAGGACTCTACTACTGAGCTTCAACCCTAGCCCCTTAAATTCTTGTTTTTTGGCGGGGGGTACCATGGATTAAACTCAGGGACACTTGATCACTGAGCCATATCCCAAGCCCTATTTTGTATTTTACTTAGAAACAGGGTCTCTCACTGAGTTGCTTAGCGCCTCACTTTTGCTAAGACTGGCTTTGAACTCATAATCCTCCTGCCACAGTCTCCCTAGCCACTGGGAGTACAGGCGTACACCACTGCTCCAAGCCTTAAATTCTTTTTTTTTAACTTTTTTTTTTTTTTAGGTATAGATGGACACAACACAATGCCTTTATTTTTATGTGGTGCTGAGAATCAAACCCAGGTCCCACCCTTGCTAGGTAAGCACTCTACCACTGAGCCCCAATCCCAGCCCCAGGCCTTAAACTCATTTTTGACCTACGATATTTTCATGATGAGTTTACAGAAACAGAACATATTGTAAGTTGAGAAACACCTGTGTTTTTAAATTTCCCCAGGTCTTTTAATGAATAATCAGAAATTAGGACAATGAGGCACAAGACACACATGCTGAAGAGAGAGCTGAAGTGCTCTGGATGGCAATGCTCTTACATGCCCAAGCTGGGCCCTCCTCAGCATAATAAATCACCACTCAGGCCTTACCCTTTTGAGCTCTTTACAGGCATTACTAGTGAACCTGTGGCCCAGCCAGGAAAGGAACTAGTGATAAAATCTGAGGCTATGAGAAAGGCCTCATTCAGAAGACTGGTTTTTACTGGGTACGTGTAATCCCAGTGGCTCCGGAGGCTGAGACAGGATTACAAGTTCAAAGCCAGCCTCAGCAACTTATAGAGACCCTAAGCAACTCAGTGAGCTGTCTCTAAATAAAAATAAATAAATAAAAAGGGCCGGGGGGTGTAGTTCAGTAGTTAAGCACCCCTGGGTACAACCCCTGGTACAAAAAAAAAAAAAAACAACCTGGTTTTCTCCTCCCATCTTCCCCAAGACTGCTCTGAACCTGCTTAATTTTGCTGGGTTAAGGTGTTTTGAAGGCCTTGAACTGCTTCCCTTATTCTCTCCTGTGCTCCTTCTCCAAATGCCCTGAAGTTCTCTATCTATACAATGACCTTCGAGACATGAACTGAGGGGCTGAGAGGAGACAAATAACTAGGGTAGTACTGGAAACTACTAGAGGAGTCTGGACAATCTGGAGCCTCAATTTTATCAATATTATCATTTACAATTTGAGTCCAGAGGTGAATTTATTCACACCATGACCTGAAATAGCCATAAGTTGTGTGAAAAGAAGCAAGAGATAATTCCATTCAACCACTATTTCACAGGAGAGGAAACAGGTTTCAGTGATCTGCCCAAAGTGACACTGCCAGCCAATGGCTCAGCTGGGTAGACCAACCATTTCCTGACTCCTACTCCAGTGCTCATTTCATCATTTTGTGACTGGGTTGACTCTCTGCATGTCACCTTTCAAACAACAGATCCTGGGCATGGTCTGGGGTATGGGATCACCTGAGGACCTATCTTTCCCAAAGAAAGCCAAAGATGTTATTCTCCCCCCTCCGCATCCTGCCTCCATTCAAGACCCTGAATATACACAATCCTCTGCCCAAAGCTGTGCCTTTAGTGACCTTCCTAGTTCTTCCTGCTATAACCTTTCTCCAGTGAATGAACTTTAGATGGTTAAAACTAAAAGGGGCTGAGCCCAGAAGCTGGATGCCTGCTCTCTAGCACCAGACTCACCTGTTCTTGTCTCTGAGTTGACCTTGGATCAAACATGGATTTTCTTTAAGCCTCAGTTTCCTTACCTAGGAAATGGACAACATCATGGTATCAGTCAGATGGAGTTGTTGTGAGGATTAAGACGATGTCCCCAAAACAGTGGTTCTCAAACACAGCTGTGCATTGGAATTACCTAGGGAGTTTTAAAAAAAATGAATAACTTGGTCTGATCACTAGAAATGATGATTTTATTATAGTGGGCATTCGATTTTTTTAATCCCCACGAACTATTCCCATGTGCAGCCAAGATGCATAGCATGTCTGTAAAGGTTTTGCATATCACCAGACCTATGGTCAGCATTCAAGTAATTAACTTCTCTAGATTTGCCCTAATGATAAAGCTCCCTTTCCTACTAGAACCCCACAGTCCTCCAAAAGACCTTCTGCCTTTGAGATTTTCCTGAAAGACCCTCAGGAGGTCCTTCCACCTCTTTTCCCCAGCACTTCCCAGAGCAGTGCTGAGATTTTCTGAAACACTGGGCTGAGAGGTCAATAGGGAAAAGAAAGGCATCCTGCTGTCAGGTGATAGTCCTGGCAGATGCATTCCAATAGACTCAGGCGCATATTGGCTGGTGTCTCCAAGACTGCCTTCCTCCTGTAAAATGAGAGGGAGCTGGCATTCCCTTAGAAGTGCTGCTGCTGTGATAAGCCACTTGGACAATTTCTTCTCCAAATAGTATGATCGCGTCTGCCGAGCCAATCACTAGGAAATGAGACAAAGCTTGCATGCCAAAAGCCTGGCCCGGCCCGCAGGCGGCGCCAATAAATGGGAGCTATGGCCTCGGATCCTTGGCGACGTCGTGCAGATCGGCAAATCACCACTGATGCCGCCACCTTCCAGAGATGGCAAAGGCTGAGAAGGGACGGCGCGGTTTCCTTATGGTTTTAACCAACACATCTCAGAAACAACCTCCAAACTGTCCTCTTGAACAACTTCTGGGACTTCTCTGCATCCCGGCCACGTCTCAGCTGTACTCCTCCGAAGGGAGTTCGAACTCATGGAGAAGGAGAAGTCTACGCTGGAGAGTGCTATCAGGAGAGGATTAGTGTGGGATGGCTGAGCGCCTCCTTGGTAGTTAGTTTCTTGCACTAGAGAGGCGTTTCCCAAAAGCCGCACAGACCAGCTCTGCCCCCAGTGTGGTCTGGGTCCTGGAGCAAATGCGCGTGGAGTCCCTCAACCTTTTGAAAGCAACAGGGCGCCTAACCGCGGGCAAGGCGCTCCCCTCCCGTCTCGGGGCCAGGCCCCTTCTTCCCCCTTTTTCCCCCTTCTCAATTTACTAGGCCAGATCCCCAGGCCCCCTCCTCGCGCGAGGATCCCAGGGAGGCGCGATCTTCCTCAACGACCCCTCTGAAGTATCTGCGAGACAAACTGCTGGCCAGGCTGCCAAGGATGTACAGCGCAGGAAATAGCTCAACGCGCTGCGGGCCCATTCCACGAAGATGCCGCCGGCTCTCAGGTGCAGCACCGTCCACGATCGTGATGCTTTGGCCCAAGGGTGCTGTGGGCCTCGAAGGCAACTTGTAATTCTCTGAGCTTTGCAGATGGCTCTGTGGGTGGGTGGAAATGGCTCCGTGGGTGGGTGGAAATTCGTCACAGTCCCTACTTACTAAGACTTGGGTCCCAATCACTCCTCCTGGAACCTCAGATAAGCCTCAACTTCTCCCAACCCTCAACTTCTCCTTTAGGTGGGAGGGTCCTGGCCGAGATATCAGTTTGGATTCAGGATCCATCTGAGATCCAAATCCATCTCCCTGCGCAGTGGTACACACCCGTAATCCCAGCGACAGAGAAAACTAAGGCAGAAGAGTTACAAGTTTGAGGCCATCCTCAGCAATTTAGTGAGACCCTGTCTCAAAAAAAAAAAAAAAAAAAAAAGAAAAGGGGAGGTAGTCCAGTGGGAATATGCCCCTAGATTCAATTCCAAGAACAACAACAACAACAAAAAAGTCATTCTAGCCATTTATGGATTTGTGGCCATGTGACCTGAGACAGATTAATCTCTGCTGTTGTTCAGTTGCTCATCCATTCTCAATTGCTCATCTGTAAAATGGAAGTAAGAATCTTCCTACCCCACATAGTGACGTTTTGAAGAATAAATTAAAGCAAAAAACCATATTAGTAGGATAGTAGTAGGGCATAACTATTTGATATTATTGAT